TTACTTTTTCGATCAACCCCCCACTCACACCACACCCCCCTCCGTTCTTCTACGACTCCTAATCCTTATTACGAACATACGCAGTAATTTATTCTATCTGTAACTAATTGATTGTTGTTATTATAGCTATTATTATTATCATTATTATTTATTATTTTATTTATCTATTCCAGGCTTGGATCCAAGCTTGGACCCATCGTTGAAGCCTGGATTTCCTCACCTGGGTACAAGTGTACCAAAGTGAACACTTTCGTTTATTCCAGTGAGCAGCGAATGTGGGCTCCTCGAGGTCCATGATTTGTATTCGAACCAATCGCATCTTATCGAATATTTTCAGAGATATGGCGTGGGGGAGGAACACTTCCATGGATACCTGGCGGAATTCATGTTCGAGCGAGCGGTGGAATACAACGAAAGGTTTGATGAATTTTGGAAAGGTGGAAAAGCATTACCCCTCAAGCCCATTACCTAATATTATTAATAAGAGTCGATTGAAATTCATTATCTACATCTAAGTGTTATCCGTTGTCTTAATTGTACCAAAATGTGATGTCTTTCCACCATAAGAACTATCCCCCCCCCTTTATACGGGATCGTTGATAAGTAGATGCTTCTGAGAAGGAGAATCGAAACTAAAGTGCAGGGCTGTACAGTGTCTGTCCATAAATACAAATTCTCTATAATGTACTCAAATAACTTAATATTATTGACTTTAGGAGGAAAGGCGCAGAACAATGGAGATGATCCCTCATGTAATAAACTTGCTAGCCACGCGAGTCAACTCGCGAGTTAGAGGTACGACGGGGGGGGGGGGGGGACCTATAATACGGCATATAACAACATGGACACAATACAGCCTTTCAAAAATAAAAACAAACGTTTGTTCATTGTTATTAGTTCATTTATAAAACAGTGATACGGAAGTTTTCCCCAAAAAAAAACGGAAATTTGCCGAGAAATTGCCGCAAATCATCCCATTTTGCTGCTCTGGTATTTCCACACTCGAACGATACGTTTTCTTCGGTTGCTATGGAGCTTGATACATATATGTACCCTTATATTTGTAAAATTGATGTTTATTAATAATTGAATTTCAATGAAGTTTAACGATAATTTACTGAAATTACTGTTTGGTCAGATTGTATTCAATTGCTGAATGATAAAATGACTCAATATTCGAAGTTGAACGCCTATCATTTGCGGATGTCTCAAACTTCACTGGATGAATCACTGATATTATAGCAAAGAGAATCTATTCGGTTTAATTAAATCTCGTTAAAAATTATTTAAATATCAATTCAGCTGTAAGAAGTAACCGAAAAAATATCTCAAAGTTTTTTCCCCGATATCAAAAAAATTGAAAATTGAAAATCGTCTCATCCGCATTTTTCAGGTCGATTGTTAGAATAAAATTCTATCATTGAGCAATAATAGAGTATTAGACGAGAATCGATTAATTGAGGTCGAAAACAAATGAAAAATCCCTTGCTCTTTTAATCTGAAGTACTAGCAATTTAGACGCGCGCTCCGCGCGCCTGTCACAATTTTCGCAAATTATAATTTCCTATCTTTAATTCAGTGACAGAACAAAAATCACAAGATAATCCGTATCGCATGTATGTCGATATATTCACAATTAAAAGTAGAAAAAACAAATGAAGAATTGATAATCGCACATTATCAAGCGATACAATATCCTTGGACTCTCCTTTAATATATTAGAGATTTAAATATCAATTCAGCTGTAAGAAGTAACCGAAAAAATATCTCAGAGTTTTTTCCCCGATATTTAAAAAATTGAAAATCGTCTCATCTGCATTTTTCAGGTCGATTGTTAGAATAAAATTCGATCATTGAGCAATAATAGAGTATCAGACGAGAATCGATTAATTGAGGTCGAAAACAAATGAAAAATCCCTTGCTCTTTCAATCTGAAGTACTAGCAATTTAGACGCGGGCTCCGCGCGCCGGGCAAAATTTTCGCAAATTATAATTTCCTATCTTTAATTCAGTGACAGAACAAAAATCACTAGATAATCCGTATCGCATGTATGTCGATATATTCAGAATTAAAAGTAGAAAAAACAATTGAATAATCGATAATCGCACATTTTCAAGCGATACAATATCCTTGGACTCTCCTTTATATATTAGAGCTGTTGCTATGGATATGAAAAAGTCTGCTACGGAACATCATCATAGTTACTATGTGATAACCAGTACCACAGTGAGTCCATCCATAAACCGTATCATTATTATTACGTCTTAATCGCCAAGTATGCTACGTTCTGCAATGATTTTTGCATTATTTCTTGTTAGTAGAAAACTCTTTTACTATATTGCCAAGCATTGTCTATGGTCGGGGTTATTTTTACTATGCCATTCTTTCGATGCTGACAGCCTCAACTGATAACTTCTATTATTCTTCGCTTGTGCATGTCGCCAATTACGCTTATTATGGTCCCACGCCTCCCGTTTTTGCCTCGCCATCAGATCGAGCTTTTCCTGAACCCCAGGAATTAGACTGTCTACTGGCCATCTTTGTGGGTAGATGGAGAAACCATACAAAACCCAGTTTTCGCCATAGACCTTCATGATCCATAAATGTCATCGAAACAATATTCTTATACGCTCAATTTTGATCAATTCATGTGCCTAAACTACAATGAGGAATCAAGCGTTGATCACTTATTGAAGCGATTAATTTCCATTCCATCTTTTTTCCTCGATGCAAGTCCAAAGTGATTCGAGCCAATAGCGTTCCGTCCTGATGCGAGTATGCATAGACTTGAATATTGTTTTCATATTTTTTAATTGTCCTACCGTCCCACCTTTAAACCTACGTCCCCTTGATTCAAATCCACACAGGATTGATTAAGGTGTATAATTGATTGGTGATTACGAATAGAATTTTCGAAAAACAAATCAACGTTCAGTGCCATGAATTGCTTATTCTGTAAAAAGATTAAATCACGAATCAGGTTGGATGGGTAAAGAAAACAGGTTCGTTGCAAATTTCAATGAAGCACCTGCACGTTCGATCGACGCATTTTTTCTCAGTGTATCTGTCAATCATTTCTGGGCGACGACGGAAGTGTTCAAAACTAAACTACACTAACTCGAAAAATTCATCTGCTATGTAAATTTCTAAAATTGTAAGAAAGTCAAAAAATCACTCATACGATTACGATTAGAAGTCAATCTTTAACTAATGATAAGCGTTCCCATTCCAGTGAGCACATATTAGACCGACATTTTGCTGTCAATAGGGAACTCGATACTTACAAAGCGAATATTCCTCCAATGTTCAACATTCCATCGGGTTCCCAGTGCTCGCAGACTGATTGTTTGGCCGTGTTGAATATGTCGGCAAATCCTGAGCGGGTGTTTGAGAAAGATGTTTAACCTAATAAATTGTCACATGAGCTGGTGAGTTTTCTCCCCAAAGTTAATTCGAAAAAGAAGCGTTCCATAATGTCACACAAATAGCAACAGAGACGAAGAAAATGTCTTCGTCGAACAGCTTGGCATTGTATGTAGATGAAGAAGGCAGGGCGACAATGACTGTCAGGGGCCTCAGGATGTTACGAGAACACACTGTCAAAGCGTCATCATGCTAATTTCAAAGCCTCATCCAAATCGGTCTTGAATGCCTTGTGAATTAGTATGGTCATGGTCCAGATGAAATGTATCCAAACTTGATTATTTATTCAACATGTACCTGTTGTGATATTGATTTCCGTATTGCACGCTAAGGATTCTAAGTAGATATGATTTGAACTATCGACAGAAATTAAAAAAACAGAAAACAAACGATAATTTGGACCGGCATCGGATTGATGAAAAGAATAGTCGAAAAGTTGGATACCGTTAGCCTTAATAGTATATTTCTCACCTAAGGGAGGAAATATAGATAAGTCTTCCCCACGTACAAAATTGCTACCCGAGCCGAAGGCGAGGGTGCTAAGCACGTGGGGAAGGCTTGTCTGTGTTTCCTGCGGAGGTTTGAATACGACTTTTCAACACGGCGCAGGCAGGAAGTTATCACTTTGTGCCCGTCGTGTGAATAATTACGTATGGCAAACCTCTTTTCATGATCCGGAAAAATCTTCAATCGAGAAAAAATCATAGATTGAAGATTTTTCCGGATCATGATTGAAAATTGTAAGGAACTTAAATGCATTACTAGCCAGATCGAGTCTTCAATTACTCTTTCCACGAAATAGTCAATTCATGGCACTCAACATTCATTGGTTTTTTCAAAATTGTACTCGTAATCGAATATCGATTTGAATCAGGTTTGAATTTAGCTTGAGAAACAACAGAGTACGAAAACCATATTCAAGTATGTGTATTCTTTAATCAAGGCGAAAGACGATTGGCTCGAGTCATTTCAGTTTTGAAGTCAGGAAAAAAAATTGAATGCTTACTCCCCATTTCTGTATAGGAAATGAGAACAGTGTTTTTCACGGCTAGGGCGGAAAAAGTGAATCTGACGAATCCGACTTTATAGTCCGAACCCCAGGCGAGATCTCGTCTTTATCTACACCTCGGACTATAAAGTCGTATTCGTCAAATTCACCTTTTTGGTCGTGGCTATGATGCGATTTTATGTCATTGTGACTCGCTTCGCTTTCACACACTTTTATTGCAAGCAAATGACTATGAATCAACAAATGAATCAAGTTGGACAGAGTGAGACTAAGTAATCAAAAAGTTGTCACAGATATTTGTTTGTTCAAAGGGAAAAGAAACGAAAGAAAAGAAAGGAACTAGATATTTGCGCGACGACCTTTAAATAGTACAAATATGTTACATAATAATGATTACTATGTCAACCTAGTAATGCACACTGTAAACTGCAGGCTCTTGATGCTGTGATTGCTATGCCCATAGGACCTTCCATCGTTGAGAAGTTTACTATATACCATGGTGCCCGTGGTAACTATTTGGATGCCCACACTATGTGTGGGTTCTAATATTTTTAATGATGATTCTAGAATTTTTAATATTGTTTCAGCATAGCAGAAATGGAGGAAACTTAAAAATTTACTGAAAATGGTGGACAGAATCCGTTAACCCATCATTCCCAGTTCAAAGACCTAAACCAAGACCAATACTGGTTCTTTTCCTAATTTTTACATAAAAAGGGAGTTTATGACATAAATAGAAATAATAAGTATTCAGATTGTGACTACTTTTAAGGTATTAATGACACTTGGAATATGCAACAATATTGATGTACGCTGTTCTTGTATACGATCTCCCTGGTTCTCTCTGATTTGGGTTACCTGAATTTAAAAACTCGGCCAGATTCTTTTAGTAGATTAAAACGAATCTTATGATGGATTGAAGGCATCGTTGGCATTTAAATTTTTGAGAAGACGACGACTATGTAAACAAGAAGATTGAATTTTTGACAACAATTTTGATGAAAAATTTGTTTGATCAAAAATCTTATTCCTTCTATTAATCCTTTTTTTTTTGTTCAAGTTATAAGTAAAATACTTACATGGCATCGTTTATTGCACAGCCATAGGATGGGCTCTGCAGCATCGGCAGCTTTTAACAGGGCGAGTTCATGTGGTCGACGAAAAATAACAGTATTTTCAGATTGAAAACATTTATTCTCCTTTTCTGTCTCGATAGATGGACTTTGCTTTCATATTTCCAAAAATATTTGTCGAATCGGTTTGAAATGCAAATAAAGTCGATTTTTTGGAAATTCTAAGTACGTTCAACCGCTTAGATATAACCGTATATTTTTTTTCATCGTTACATATCTCCGATGATATCTCTTATGGAAAAGTACATATATTTTGTTGAAATTAATAGATTAAAATAAAAAGAGGGTGCAGCAATGGCCAGGGTCGATACTCAAAGGCGAACTAGAGAATTGAGAGAAGAGTGGGGGCGAGATTGTTTGGTAGAGGTACACACAGGTATATAAGGGACGTGCTGTAGTCATCGGGAGTCGTAGTACGATAGTGTGGTACTAATAGAGGGAGAAGAACGGCGAGAGAGCGTAGAGCGGGAGATAAACAGAGATGAGATATACATGATCATGCTATGGGTTGGAGAGGAGAATCGGGATTGGCAAACCGGTCACGTAGTGCTCGGCGATGAATGGACCCGGCGAGTTGAGCCCAGAGAGAGCTGGGAATTGGCTACTGGGCATACCGTCGACCACCTACCCCACTGCGTCAGCTTTAGCTACCCCACATATATACACATGGTACAATGTACATCCAATGGCAGCGGAATTACCGAGAGAGAGAGAAAGCAAATACTAAAATTTACCGAATCCTCAATTCCCTACAGAAATTCTTAGTGCTTGCTTTAATATTTTTAATTAATGTCTTTCAAAACAAGCCGTAAATCCATGACCTCTGACCATATACTTCATCAGTTATTGGTCTTTTCGATCAAGTTCTTTCTATCAAGTCCCCTAATTGTTAAAGGCATTGGACCCTTCTGCGTAACATTTTAAATGAATCCTCAAATGGTCCAGCTATGAATACTAGAAGTGGTCCTCAATAATTCAGTACTTCGTAACATCCCTTACTCGCCTACCGAAACTTTGAAGCACACTGTTTAAAAATTTTTTATTGTCATTTTTTTTTGTATTTCAAATTTATATTTCTTATTTTTAACCGTGCAACTTATAAACGAAAAAATAAAAATTTGTGAATATCTTCTAGACTTTGCAAGGATTCATGTGTATTCTTTGAAAGAGCTAGGTGGGAGACATCGAGATGAATATTTTGATATTTAATTTAGCCTGGCTGTGATTGTACTCTGTGATATAGTAACCTTTATCTTGATGTTCTCAAGCATTATCGTGTTCATACCAATTCCATCTGTAAAATGTCAATCTTACATTACATCTGGTACCTCTACTACCCATCGTATATGATTTGATCCCATAGATATTATTACACAGAATTTGTGCACCCAAAAATCTATTTGGATGTAGTGGTTTGTCAGAAATCCTAGAAAATAGAGTTTGCCACAATCATTATATCTCAGAAACCACAAAAATTATGAAATTGGAATTCGAATCAGATAGAATATATTGAAATTATGGGCAATGTTTTCCCCAAGTGTTTGAAATTCGATAGGATCTTACAGGTTTTAAAAGCTTCTGTTGAAAGCAATGGTAGGCCAACGATTCACATTTGAATCTATTAGTTTAGTCGTTTTTTCTCGAAATTCACCAAAAAAGTTTCCGAATCCATGGAACAATATGTAGAGGGGCATGTCGACGATCTTGATAAATGTACTACAATTGTCGATGTTTCACAATTCTATATCATTTAGTACAATTGAAGAATTCAAAGCATTGATAGAGTACTTAGTACTTGGTACTTACTAATTCCATTCAGGGGTCAGAATGAAATAGTTCGGGATTGGAGCATTGTTGAGCATTACCTCTTGTACTATTGTTTCCCTTATGGTCTGCTAATTATTGAGGACTATCAGTGTAGCAAACTAATTATCGAGATTCCGGTTTTTTTGGATGGAAACCGCGATTTCACATCAAAATGCTAATGGCTACTCTATCATGATTACTTAGTGCTCATTCATTCATTGAATTTACGACGAACAAAATTTTGCTCAATCTTTTTCATGATTGCTCAGGCAGCAGGCATGAAAAATTGATATTTTGAAAAATAGATGAAACAATACGTGGTATTCGTTCATGTTGTATATATTTTTCATATATATAAATTTTATGATAAAATTGCGTAACTTTGTAAAACGTTTTAAAATGTTTGAATTATGTCGCAATAATGAAAATGATGAAGACAGTTTAGGCATCTTCTCTGTGAGAAAATCTGCTTGACAAATAGTTTGAAATTAACGAGTTGATGATAATAAATTCCAGACACTCATCAACGTTACCCCAATCTCACCTGGTTTACCCCGTTCCTAATTGTCCAAAACGATGATGTGATATTTAGTTCTCATTCTATAGAGTATGCTGATGATTGCATGTATCAGTAAATGATATAATAACGAAATTTACAGATTATAATTAATGTGTCAATTAAATTAATGCACATGTCTACTAGGTCTCCCTTCCGTAATGACAAAATTTTTTTCATTCCCGTCAACGTTTTGACATGTTTAAGGCAAAATCTCATATTTTTCTAAGAGATAGTGGAAAGCCTCAAGCGATATAACCGACGTATAATTGCTAAGAAACCACATATATTCTTGCCTCGAACCCATGAATTCTCGAGAGAAATATCAGTACTACAAGTTAGTTGACTCAAGAAAACAGTATTTGTCTCGAGTCGTTACGCTATCAACAGTAACCTAATTTACTCTATAATAGCAATTATTGATTTATATTTATTACTCATATTTATGTAGAGTGCTCATTATTATTTATATATTTATTATTGACTATTGATTGATATCGGACAAGAGAAATTTTCAGTTTCATCCAACACTCGTTATAAATTGCATGCATGCATGCCGATTTTTTCAATCGTAGTAAAAAACTTATGGAATGGCACGACCTGACAGTAATTCCTAGTTATTGTTTCATCGCATCGTGCATGGAAGAATGTATAAGACTAAAAGGAATCAAACAAAAAGTGGAAAAATGAGCAGCATGAAAACAATTTTAGTTCGATTTTCTCGATAATGACACGAAATCCTTACAATTTTTAACTAAATTAATGTTATCTAAATAGAGGTGATTTTATACTAGATATATCTCAAAGACTTGATGAGGTAAAGGTTCATCTGAATGATACACAACCCAACGTGAATAATATAGAAATCTAGTCCATATTTCGAACAATTTTTCCCGGGAAGATTATATGCATTCTAAATTGCTTCAACAGAAAGTGGAAAAAATTTTATGTACAAATATTCTCATTTTTCATTACGCTTGGGATTGAAGTTGAATACATCACCAGAGACTCGTTGACACCCTACAACCCCATCTCTATTCGTTTATACCACCACCGCCAGCCTCGTCATCCGTGACTCTGCGAAGCGGTAGAGCAATCTAAAGTAAACCTCTGATCTGCCATAAAGTCATTTCATAACCCATCCAAAAAATGAAGGCTAGGGGAGACTACCCGCCTTTCCAAGTCCGGAGTTAAGCGTCAACTCACTAGTCCCATGATGCTTCCTCGTGCCGTCCTCTCTCCACTTTCAAACTCTTCTTTATCATTTTAGTTTAACCTCACACATGTTTTCTTCTAGAAAACCATTTTGATAACCTACCAAATTTATCTATGATCTGAAATATTTTTCTATGAATTTACAACGGCCAATTCTGATAATTCTTATCGTGATTAAATTTCATTGAGATTTCAGAGCCTATTGCCATTGGAAAATCTGCACGTTTTAATCTACTCTTAGATTAGGCTCGTTTAAAACTTAATGCATAAGACTTTAACATGGCGTGATATCACGACTTAGCCATATCACGATATCTTAGCCATATCAGCTTAGAATAACCAAGTTTTGAGGATGTGTGAAAAATGACTATGATGATTATTTCTCTTAGATTGTTCACCCTGAATTATTCCTGCACACCTGAAAATAACTAACTTGCGAATGAAGAAAATGATTGCTTTTCTTTTTCATAAATAGGACGTGGTGTTATCTCCTCCAGAGCCCCTAATCAAATGCTGATAATTTGAATAAACAGAAGGTCGGATGAATTCAGGGCTACAATGACTTGGCGAAAAAATATGGCTTTGTAAGTGATGAGAAAGTTTTCATGACTATTAATTAATGGTTACGTACTGACATGAAAATTGAGTGAATTTATCAAACCTAACTATGATTATGAATAAGTCTTGCCGTAAATATACAAAAGATCTAGGTCTACACCTAGACTTTGCGTACCCTTAGGTGCGATTGAAGTGGACGATGAAATCAAGCCTGCGCCAGTGTCTGAATTACTGAGCCATGTAAAGTCTGGGCGTGAACATAGCTCGCACCCAAGTATTTGAAGTATTCAAACTTGAAATTTGACAGATGCATACGAAGACTTCCATGCTCCCCGAAGATAGCTGTACTATTGCTATGTGTACATAATTCAAGTTACTCTGAAACTTCACTTGAAATTACTCTACACATGGTTGTGAAAAATTTGAAAGAATGCAAAAATATATTTTTGCCGAGAGTATGATATCACTGATATCTTTCGAATATTCTCACGATGCAAAAGGATAAGGATCTTTGAATAAAACTAAGGAGAAAAAGTGTATGTTTTTCTTGCAGCTGTTCCATC